AATTTTCATCACGAGAATTATCTTGATATTGGAAAAACTAGTGAAATTGAATCGATTATCTCCACACTGTTTGATAGTGGGAGGTTCTATATGAATAAGTAATACGTATTTTTGTCTGCATGATGGCTTCATCAGTTTGAAAATCGTTTCTTTGAAAATTCATTTCAAAATGTGTCGTTTTCCCAATGAATTGTAATTCGTTTTGTGATGGTTTTTCTGCAATAATATAAGATATGATCACATTACTGGCTGATTAAATAGATTCAACACATCAATTTTTGCACTATTATACGCAATACAAATGTTTTTTTCTATTGAGGATGGAACCTAGATAACAAAGTATGTTTTTCTTGATATTTATCATTTATTATTTGGCATCATTCAATTCAGGAACATCTAACACAACAGTAACGTAAACTATCAATCATTTATTATTTGGCATCATTCAAATCAGAAACATCTAACAGAACAGTAACGTGAACAAAATTTCACAGATTAATAAAGAAATCTCTGTAGTAATAGGGAATTATCCTTTTTTCGAATAGACTCAGCAGAATCTTCTTCTTGTTTTCGGGAAATCCGACTTTTTTCTGATAGGCTCTTCTCAGGTTCATGTCAAGAATGTGTTTCCTTTGGCGAGTTTCCAGTGAAGCTTCACTGAAGTTTTCGTCATCATAGGAGTTTTCATACAAAATACTGTCTAGGCTATTTTTTTCCACTCTGAATATTTTCAGTTCCGTGATCTTGAAGATCTCTCCTTGTACATTTTTTGGCAAATTTGTCAATCCGATGTTATCAGCCAAAGCTTTCAGGTCGAAAATGTTTTCATGAGATAATTCTTTGACCCTATAGGGGTGTCCAGTTTTATTAGCAGTTCTTATTAATGCCACGTATTGTTCCGGAACGTAGATTGGACCGGATTTCAGGAATTTCTTCACGTTCCTCTCAATTAATGAGTGTGCATCGTCGCCTCCGTTCTGGGTATGCCCAGTTATCGAAAATTCATGCGAAATACTGTTGATGTTTTCAAAACGTGTAACTTCATGAATGTACATGGACAACAGAAACCTATTCTTTTGCTGACCAGTGCAATTATCGGAGTAGAAAACAACATCCATTTTATTCTCCAGCCTTTCATTCAACGTTTATAAGGAATTCAAAACGCACGACCCAATTTCATTGTTTCCTCGGTTGGCTTGACCTTCATGCCAAACATAGCAAGTCACATCATTGGTCTTTATATCATAGATCGTGAAATTGAGAGTATTTAGCTTCGAAACATAATAAAAGCTCGAAGTGTCTCCTTTGGGGCAGGGTAATACGGCCTGAAGGTCATACACAAAGACGAGACTATTAGATTCTTCATCTTTCTGTTTCTCAAGACGTGAGAGCTCTTTCTGATAATAATAATAATAATGTTTATTCACGTTCATACATATAACATGTCATGGTGCTTGATGGTAATAATAGATGAACTAAAGTGAACAGACAGACTAGCCCACAAAAATCATAGATTGCGTATGGGATTGATTAGCTTATTCATCACATAATTCAAGAGAGAGATCATTATTACATTAACAATATCATAGAGTTAACAAAAATACTACCTATCCTAAACCAATAACAAAAAAGATATTCTATTAACTAACATAAATAGCAAAATGCTAATAAAAGATGATATTACATCTGTATGATAATAATAATAATAATAATAATTTTAATAATACGAAATATACTCATGAATAATAATAAAAAAAATGTTACCTAGAGACATAAATGTTTCAATTACCAGGATCAATTAGGTTATGAACATGCAGCCTATCCTGTTCCAATAAATATTTTTTTACTTTGCTTTTGAAAAGTTTGAGCGAGTTTATTCCAATCTTCAGACATGCAGGTAAAGTGTTGAATAATCTAGTGTGGAGGTACGTATGACATCTTTGTCCAATTGTTTTTGCAGAGTTTGCTGTTTTTAGATTGTTGCTAGTTTTATGCCTTGTACAATATAATATGATCTAAGAAGGACCTTTTCAATACTCCATACTGAAATGATACAACTGTTAGAAAATAAAGCTGTCTTATATCTAGTATGCTGCTCTCACTGAAAAGTAAGTTTGATGGGTAAGTTGGATTTTTTTGGTTCATTATTTTCAGAAATCGTTTTTGTACTGATTCCATTTTTTTCAGGTGTGACTTAGCAACTCCTCCCCACCCGATGATTCCATATATTAGCCTAGATTCTACAAGTGAATAATAAATAATACGCATCTGTGGTAAGTCTAATATGGTTTTCAAGTATTTAAATTCATATATAATACTCCTCAGGGTGCCTGTGACATAGTTGACGTGAAAATCCCATCTGAGGTGCTGGTCGATTATTATACCCAAGTATTTCGTTTTTTCCACACGATCAATTCGATAAGTTGTATTTCTGTCATTGGAGATGGTCAGGAAATCATAACTTGGTGAACCACTTTTATTACTAGAGAAACAGATGGAAGTTGTTTTCGTGTAGTTTATTGTTAGCAATTTATGGTCAAGCCAGTTTATGATTCGCTTCAGGTCATTTTCAGAAGTTTGTTTGAGTGTTGTCCAATCTTTTTCCTTATAAATGATGACAGTATCATCCGCAAAGCTAATGATTTTTCCACAAGAATTCAATTTGAAGAGGTTATTTATGTATATGGAAAATAGTGTTGGACCTAAAACAGTTCCTTGAGGAACTCAATATTCAATGATACGTTCGCTGCTTACTTCAGAATTTATTCTAACATATTGTTTCCTGTTATGTAAATAGCTTGTGAAGAGATCGTAGGCAGCGCCCCTTATTCCCATATCTTGCAAAGTCTCTAACAGCTGAGTATGACTCACTGTGTCGAATGCCTTTGCAAGATCTAGGAAGACACAGATTGTGGGGTTGCTTTCATCGATATTTTTGTATATTTCACTTGTGAGTAATGATATCGCATCTTGAGTAGATTTGCCCTCCCTGAAACCGAACTGCATATCAGAGACAAGGTTATGTTTCTTGATATAGCTATTCAATCTATAATGGACTACCTTTTCGAATATTTTAGCTATGGTTGATAATAATGATATGGGTCTATAATTAGACATATTTTTTTTCCCGCCATTTTTGAAGATTGGAACTATGAGCGCATTTTTAAATTCAGGTGGGCAAATGCCAGTTTGCAATATCTTATTAATTATGAATACAAGAGGCTTAGCTACTGCAGATCTTACTTCTTTTAATGTATTGAATTTAATGCCATCAATTCCAGGAGCTTTATTACTAGATAAATTTTGTATTATTGAAGAAATTTCCTTCTCATCTGTAGGAAAGAGAAATATAGTCGAGTTCACAGGGTGCCTTCCTGGTGATTGAGTTGAAGGTTTTATTATTTTTGAGGCATAGTCTTTCCCTACATTAGCAAAAAAATTATTGAAGGCATTCGCCTTTTCCCTGTCATCTATTATGTCCTTATCATCCACAGTTATTTGTCTGATATCAGAGTACTTATTACTTTTCGAACTGATTTTTTTCACCGTGTTCCATAACGATTTACAGCAATTTTTGTTTTTATTTATTTCAGATTTGTAATAATTAATCTTAGTATACTTCATTAAGTTATTAAGAGATGTTCTATAGTTGTTGAATTCTATTTTACGCTGCAAGTCCTCTGGATTCCTTTTGTAAGTGGCATATAGTGCATCTCTTTTATTAATTGATTTAATTAGGCCCGCAGTAATCCATGGATTTCGTTTTCGTTCATTCCTCTTAATTCTGATTGTCGTTGTATTTTTATCCATCATGAACAGGAATTTTTTGAAGAACACTTTTGTAACGATGTTTGGGTCATTGATTGTATATAGTTCTGTCCAGTCTATTCTTTGTAAGTCTTCTTTCAATTTCTTTGTATCTATTATTTTATTAACATGGTGGTCTGTGAGTTTGTGTATATCGGATTTTATCGGCAAATGCACTAATGTTGGGTAGTGGTCAGTTTTATTTGTTTTGATTACAGTTGGAGAATAATACTCCTGATCATGATGGTTGTATTGAATGTTGCTACGCAGAAAAATATGATCATAACACTTTATAGAGTCCCTTTGTTCTCTCGTAGGAATATTAATCATGGACAAGAAATTGTGTTCACTCATAATATTCAGGTATTCGTTTACTAAATTATCATTCGTTGATAGAAGGTTTATATTAGTATCTCCTGTAAAAACGTGATAATCAACATTGTCGTGACTGCACTCATTGAAATAGTCTTTTAAACTGTATAGAAATTCTTCTATGGTAGTAGCGAATGGTCTGTAGACGCCTGTTACGAGTACATTTTTAGAACCTATGATTACTTTTAGTTGTATTGATTTGAATTTACCAATATTATATATTTTATGAGTGTAAGTATGATTGATTCTGATATGAATAATTACTCCATCACACTTGTTTATATCTCCTTCACTGTAAATTAAGTCATATCCATCCAATTGTATCAATTCTGTATTATTTACTTTCCAGCTTTCTGATAGAACAATACAATCAAAATCTGTGCTGAACTGACTCAAGAATACTTTAAACTCGTCTAGATTTTTGTTGATGCTTCGTATATTCTGGTGGAAAATTCTAAATTTTTCAGAATAAGTTTTCAGATGAGGATTTTCCTCATATTTGGTAACATTATTCACGGAACATGTTGCAATCGGCTCATAATTCTAATCTCTGATATATTGATCCATCCTTCTAAATATTGCCAATTCTTCAAATTATATAAAAATATATACTTTTCGCTTTACTATATTGTTTACTTATAATAATTCAATATCGCAATGAATAGGAACTGAATATTGATAATTTGACTCAACTGCGAAACTCAATTAACTTAAGAACTAGGATGTTATATAATAATAGATATTTCTATCGACTGAAATAATATGCAATTATTCTCGTGTATTTCATAGCCTATAATGAAAAGAACGAAAAGGAAAATGATTTACTTTCTCAGTGTTGTGATGCTGTTTTGCCTTGTTGTTCGTTCTTGGGAGGTGTTTCTTGCCACCAGGACTTTCTCCGTGTTTGGATTCTTCTTCTTCGAGCGTTGGTTTATTGAGCTGTTTTCTCCAAGTTGCTCTCCTTGGTCTGCTACTTTCGCTACCTCCTCTGTATTTAGTTGTTTCCTTTTATCTATTGTTGGCGTTGATGGGGCACTTGATGATTCTGGTCTATAAACCAGTTTCTGTTCCACAAGTTCTGGATTCTTCTCTCTCAGTTGTTCTGCAGAATATGCCTCCCCGTTCACTAGTAACTTCAGACCTCTGATGGTTGCTGTAAGGTTTTTGGCTCTAGCTTCTTTCATATGACTTCGTAATATCCTGTAGTCTGCCCTGTCTTCTTCACACATATCATTTACAACAGAAATGTTAGTGCCTTTGAGTTTGTGAACATTATCAATTATGGATTTTTTAGTAAGATATGCTGTGAATTCTATTTTCACTGGAGAATTTTCTTTTTTTCCTAAACTGTATATATTGTTGATATCTGCTTCGGAAATCTTAGTTCCTAATGTCGTGTTCAATTTCTGAACAGTATGCGTGAGTAGGTGATTTTCTGTATCGACATTCAAGCCAAAAACTAAGATTTTATTTTTTCTTGCATTCCTTTCCAATAATAAATATTTTTTATCCAGGATACTGCATTTGGTTTTAAGGTGTTGTATTTGAGTAGTGTACCTACGTTCGTCTGGGCTCACTAGTTCACATTTCCACCACCAGATGGCGGTGGTGGCGCTACGGTCGCAGCAGCTGACAATCGACATCTCTCACTGACAAGTGACAGATGACGGGTGACAGATGACAAGTGACACACGTGACCGATAACCTAACCTAACATTACTCCTCTAACCTACCCTTTCGAAATGACTGAAAGGGCCTTCGATGACAAATGACCGATGATGACCGATGATAACCGATGATGACCGATGATGACCGATGATAACCGATGATGACCGATGATGACCGATGATGACCGATGATGACCGATGATGACCGATGATGACCGATGATGACCGATGATAACCGATGATGACCGATGATGACCGATGATGACCGATGATAACCGATGATGACCGATGATGACCGATGATGACCGATGATGACCGATGATGACCGATGATGACCGATGATGACCGATGATGACCGATGATGACCGATGATGACCGATGATGACCGATGATGACCGATGATGACCGATGATGATCGATGATGACCGATGATGACCGATGATTGATGACAGATGACAGATGACAAGTGACAGATGACATGGAACACAAGGAATGACAGATGACACGTGGCTGCACTTAGCCCCCTGGACTCTAGACTCTAGTGCTTATGGGCGTGTCCTAGGACATTCTTCTTCTTCTTTTTGAAAAGTGGTGGATGACGTCACAATCTATTGACTGTGCTCACCAGATTTAGGTTGGTATTACTACAATTGGTAGCACTTTGTTTCAAGGTCACCCGATATGCATGTTGGAGAGGTGGCCGATGAGTCATCCTTATCTCGACTTCGTAGAACAATGCCTCCTTTGTTTGCCATATGTTATCTAGCCTTCCTCTAGAACAATGCCGCCTTTGTTCTCTCTATGCCACAGCGTTTCTTGGAATTCCGGCTATTGGGAAATTGCGACGCAATATACGAGAACAATGCCGCCTTTGTTTGCAGGTGTCCGATTACGTAACAACCTCATCCGATTGCATCATCCTTATCTGTGTGAGAACAATGGGTCCATTGTTCTGACGCAGGTGGCCGATGAGTCATCCAATAATGCTAGCTGGGAGACAACCTGAAAGAGTACCTCTATCTACTTCCTGTCACCACTGACTGTCAGCGTTTCTTGGAATTTCGTCGAGTCAGCTGTTGGGAAATTTGCCTCATGAACAATACCTCCGTTGTTTGCAGGTGGTCGATGACGTCACAACCTCAAGCCCTATATAAGGCGGTCAGAACGTTCGTAGACGTCATTCCATTCTGAACTTTGACACTGGTCGGTCGACCTGTTCCTTTCTGTTTGGTTGCTCCTGTCTGTTCGGTTGCTCTTGTCTGTTATATTGTGCGTGGGTTGTGCCAGCTGAAAGGTGAGTTCTTTATTTATTACGTTTCAAGGCCATGTGGTCGACCCTATTTGTGACTAGTGATCATTCCACCCAATACTAGCAGTAGTAAATTTCTTATCAGATGGATGTTTCAGCTATTAACGCTCAAGCTGCTGCCTTCAAACCAACTGTCGCTTTAAGTAGTTTGCCCATCAACCAGCCCCACCCCATTGAAAATATCAGGGTGGTCCAGACACGGTTTGGGGAGGCTATTGTGGTGGAACTCGAGGCATCTAGCGTTTTTCTGCCAAGGAGGGTAGTTGGCATCTTCAAGCCTCAGCTTTCGGCTTTCACCCCAGGCAAATACAGCCTGATTCACAAGAGGAGTGACACCGGACCTGCAGTCCTCTTTGAGATTACCAAAAATTAGTGGTGAGTAAAATATTATTTTCTGTTTGATATTTCTCGCAACATGAATGTCAATAGTATTGCTTCTACTAGTGATGCCGTTGTTGAGGAATGTAGAAGAAAAGTGGAAATTTTGAGAAAGAAGACGAACATATCTGCAGAAGAGAGACTGTTATGGAATAGGCAAATAGGGACACATATAAGAGAATTGAATAGGGCAATCAGGGGGACCAATTCGACAGCAGGGGTTTTGAGAAAATTAGAAACAAATGTGGGGCATTTGAAACGTTTTCAAAGTTTGATTAGGAAAAAGAATCATATTGGGGCGGGACTTGGCAATCGTAAAAATAGAGTTACATGGAGACTTGTTCAATCTGTTTTTGAGAGTAGAGTAAGGACGGCTGTTATAATCAATTTAAGTCATAAGGAGTTGATGCAATTCTTGCAGGACGCATCGCACATTTTCAAAATTCAAATTAAAAAAATATTGAGAGAATTAACCATGCTCAAAGTCAATACCACCTTCTGTGGTGAGTTTATCAAGAAATCGGGTGACGCGGAGAGTATCGAATATAAATATTTCAGTACGAAGAATGCCTCAATGGATGAAGGAACGGATGTAGATTGTTGGTTCGCAGATAATGTGATTGATACTATAGTAAATAAACTTTCGGAATTCCAGGAGAAGGGCAGTGGCTGGGCCTTGAGGGAAATTATCTCTTTAGAGGTTAATGTGAATAAATTAGAGATTGGTAATGGTTCATCCTATATCCAGCTGCCAGAGAAAATCTTGAAAAAGCGTGCATACATCAATGTGAAAAACATTGATCAGGCATGCTTCTTCTGGAGTATCGTGAGCGCTCTACATCCTGCTAACCGTAATGTAGACAGGCCCAGCTCGTATCCTCATTACAGCCAAGTTTTGAATACCGCAGGCTTGGATGTACCCATCACTCTCAACAATATTCCTAAATTTGAAAAACTCAATGATATATCGGTGAACGTTTACGCCTTGGAACTGATTCATGTGAAAAAGGCAGAGTATTTTGAAGTAGTACCCATAAAACTTACAAAACATAAGCAGCCCAGACATGTCAATTTACTACTAATTCAAAGTGAATATTTCCCCAAGCCCAATGATTATGATGCCTTACCTGAAGATGATTACGACGAAGATATAAGTTATCATTACTGTTGGATTAAAGACATGTCCAGGCTGCTATCTTCACAAGTCAATAAGAATCATGGGAGAAAACATTTCTGTGATAGGTGTCTGAATTATTTTTCGAGCGAATTCAAATTGGCAGAGCACAGTGTTGTATGCGAAAATGTCAACGAGTGCAAAATTTCATTTCCTAAATACGATTCGGTTGTTTTCAAAAATCATATATATAAGCAAAAGGCCGAATTCATCATCTACGGTGATTTTGAATCGGTTTTGGAGCACTGTGATGACAAAATTTCTCAAAAAATGTCAAAATATCAAAAACACACAGCCTTCAGCGCAGGGTACTATTTCAAATGCTCATATGATGATAGCTTGTCCTATTACAAGAGTCATCGAGGTCCTGATTGCATGGATTGGTTTGCCACAGAAATGGCAGATGTCGCGAAATTTGTACAATCCAAAATCAAAGACATTATTCCTCTGACTCATTTCCCAGATAAGGTTGGTGTAACACACTGCCATATCTGTGAAAAGGCGTTTGCGGGCACTGATATCATCGTTAAAGACCACCATCATTTCACTGGTGCCTTCAGGGGGTGGGCACATCAATCTTGTAATTTGGGGTACCGCAAGTCCTTCGTAGTGCCCATAGTATTCCACAATTTTTCTGGATATGATTCTCATTTCCTTCTGAGAGAGATTGCCAAACGTGGACAGGTGAGCGTACTTCCGATAAATATGGGGAAATACATTTCCTTCACCCAACACAATACAGAAACCGGTATTAAATTCAGATTCATCGACTCTTTGAGATTCCTGGGTGCCAGTTTGGACGAGTTGGCATCCAATTTAACGAAGGATAGCTTCCAAAATTTGAGAAAAGAATTCAACCAATTAGACGCTTCTAAATTCGATCTACTCACAAAGAAAGGTGTTTTTCCATATGACCACATCAATAGTCCGAGCAAATTAGACGAAACTGAACTTCCACCCATTGAGAACTTTTATAATAAATTGAACGATGAACATATCGATGATGTGAAGTACGCTCATGCTCAAAACGTATGGCAACAATTTGGATGTCAAAATTTAGGTGAATACTCGGATTTATACATGAAAACAGATATCCTTCTTCTGGCAGATGTTTTCGAACAATTCAGAGAAGCTGCTTTGAGGACTTATACCTTAGATCCGGCTTGGTATTACACCCTTCCAGGTTATACGTGGGATTGTATGCTGAAGTACATAAAATGTTCCTTACAAATTTTAAAAGATGTTGACATGCTGATGTTTGTCGAAAAGGCAATAAGAGGTGGTATTTCGGTTTGTTGTAACCGCTATTCTGAAGCCAACCATAAGTACACTTCAACATACGATCCTACGAAACCACCAAAGCATCTTCTCTACTTGGACGTTAACAATCTATATGGATGGGCAATGTCAAAGCCCCTCCCTTATGGAGGGTTTGAATGGACCGATGCCAACATTGACGTCACATTGATTCCCGACGATGCGCCAGAAGGATATATCTTACAAGTAGATTTGGAATATCCGGAAAACTTGCACGATCTACATAAAGACTTTCCGTTTTGTGCAGAACACCGCAAGCCACCTGGTTCCAAGTTGGCAAAATTGATGACCACGTTACACCATAAAAAGGAATACATCATCCATTATGTTAATTTGAAACAAGCTCTGGCTAATGGCTTAAAGCTCACCAAAATTCACAGAGTAGCGAAATTCAAACAGTCTACGTGGTTGAAGCCCTACATTGATCTGAATACTGGATTGAGGGCTGCAGCCACCAACACATTCGAAAAAAACCTATATAAACTTATGAATAATGCCGTGTTTGGAAAGACGATGGAAAACATTCGTAAACATCGCGTCGTCAAATTATGTAGATCATGGAATGGACGCTATGGGGCTAAAAATATGATCGCCAGTTCAAAGTTTCGTGGCCGGACGATTTTGGGCGACGATCTGATTGCTATCGAATTGGCTAAATCTGAAATAGTCTTCA